CTTCAACTGATGAATGGATAAAGAAGATGTGGTTTATATATACAGTAGAATACTACTTGGCAGTGAGAAAGAATGAAATCATGCCATTTGCAGCAATGTGGATGGAACCTGGAGGGTATTATGCTAAGTGAAATAAGTCAGGCAGAGAAAGACAGATACCATATGTTTTCACTCATATGTGGATCCTGAGAAACTTAGCAGAAGACCATGGGGGAGTGGCAGGGGGAAAAAAAGTTACAGAGAGGGAAAGAGGCAAACCATAAGAGACTCTTAAATACAGAGAACAAACTGAGGGTTGATGGGGGGTGGGGTAGAGGGGAAAGTGGGTGATGGGCATTGAGGAGGGCACTTGTTGGATTGAGCACTGAGTGTTGCATGGAAGCCAATTTGACAATAAATTATATTTTAAGAAAATGAAGTGCTTTGCTAATTAAATTTTCATTCTTTTTTTTTTTTTTCCTTTTCCCTAACTTCAAGTGTCAGCTGATTGTTTGTCAAATGAGCAGTACTCGGTGCCCAACTTTGAATTGGTTGCTGGTTCCTCTTTTCTTGGTTGTCCTGGTGGTAAACTTAGGAGTAGCCTCTTACGTTGAGAGCATTCTCCTGTATACCTTAACAGCTGTTTTCACTCTGGCCCACATCCATTATGGAGTACGAGTGGTGAGTCATCTAGAGCAAAATTGGTTCTATTTCGTTCTTGTAAGTAGTAGAAAAGTGGCGAAGGAAAAATTTCAAAAGAAAGTTGCTTATGAAAGTAGCTGGAAGAATTGGGATAGTCCCTATAAATATTGGATAATATCCAGGTACATAATATCAGATATTGTTTCTCTGATGAGTATGTTACAGTAACTACAAATAACTTTAAAACTCAATAGTTATTATGAGGAGTTCTTGTTTTTAGGTACAAATGTGAACTGTTTTCTTGGTGAATGGAATTGTAAGCTCTTGTGTGCTTTTAGTTATATGAGACCAAGTAATCCCATTTGTTGATTATCTATTTCTATACTTTTAAAAAAATTTTATTTATTTTTAACATTTATTTAATTTTGAGAGACAGAGAGAGACAGAGACAGAGCACAAATGGGGAGGGGCAAGGAGAGAGGGAGACACAGAATCCAAAGCAGGTTCTAGGCTCTGCACTGTCAGCACAGAGCCCGATGTGGGGCTCGAACTCGTAAACCATGAGATCATGACCTGAGCCGAAGTCAGACGCTTAACCGACTGAGCCACCCAGGCGCCCCTATTTATTTATTTTGAGAGAGAGAGAGACAGAGAGTGTGAACAGGGAAGGGGCAGAGCGAAGGAGAGAGAGAGAATCCTAATCCTGACATGGAGCTCGAACTCACAGACAGTGAGATCATGACCTGAGCTGAAGTCAAGAATCGGATTTGCAACTGAGTGAGCCCCCCCAGGTGCCCCTCTATACTTGCTTCTTTAGCTTTAGGGGACTTTTTATCAGGAGAATTATAGAAGAGAATGGATTTAAGAAGTATTTTGCAAACCTTAATATTCTCTTCTAAAAAGAGACTAGTTTCAAGGCAAATGGACTGAGGTAGATATAATAAAATGAAAATCAGAGCCATGCAATTTATTTTTTTTCCTCACACTTTAACATTCTTTTCTAATTATGTATTTTAGCATGGTCTTATAATTATGGTTTTTAATTGTACAGTATTCCAGCAAGGAGATTACTTAATAATTACCCAGTTTACTTAATTATGATCCAGTTATTTTAATCATCTAGGTTGTTTCCAGATTTTCACCATTACAAATAAGGTTGGAATAACAACAACAAGAACAACAATAACAATCTGGAGTAATATATTTTTCTTTATTTTATTTTCTGAGGATAATTTCATAGCAATGAGGTTATGTAAAAGGGTATTCATGTTTTTATGGCTCTTAAAATACTGCTTTTATTTGGTATGCTTGTTTTGAAAGGAACTCCACCGTGACTCAGTTTGAGACACATGTCTTCTGTCATAATATTTTAAAATGAGCGCACCTAGGGGCACCTGGGTGGCTTGGTCGGCTACATGTCCAACTTCAGCTTAGGTCACGATCTTGTGGTTCGTGAGTTTGAGCCCTGCGTCGGGCTCTGTGCTGACAGCTCAGAGCCTGGAGCCTGCCTGGGATTCTGTGTGTGTGTGTGTGTGTGTGTGTGTGTGTGTGTGTGTCTCTCTCTCTCTCTCTCTCTCTCTCTCTCTCTGCCCCTCCCCCACTCAACGCTCTGTCTCTCCTTCAAAATAAACATTAAAAAAAAAAATTTTATATGAGCACACCTGTCATGCCTTTTACCTTGTATATGTTGCTAAATTTAGGTTTCTTCCCTTAGTGTTCTCCCCAAAGCAGCCTACATTTGTTAGAACAAAGTAGATGAAAAAAATCCACGATAACTATGGATTGTGACATGAGGACGTAATCATTTATGTTTTTATTTATGCATACTTAACATAAATGCTTGATTTTATGTCAACACTCTTAGGCTTTTATATTTCACATGCATGAAGTAGAATATAGTTGTAAATGTCTTTTATACTTGTTCTAATTTTTTACAACCCTTCAGAAGCATATCTTTCGGAAACCGTACATATACCAAACCAACCCAAAAAACCTTTTTCGTTAAATTACAAAGGCAGTATATTTTCAGTGTTAAAAATCTGGAAAATAAATCAAAGTAATTGAAAAAAATTCTAGGAATATCTTTTTTGTCGGTCTTTGTGCTCTCTTGCCACGTTTTGCAACTTCTGACCAGAAGGTGAAACTTGCAAGCTACACAGAACATTCATTTGAACTAGAAATACAAAGGACAGCAACAGAACTAGAACTTTGGTAACTGACACATAACCAGGGTCTTGCCTGCCCACTAGGGATACCCTAACCTAAAATGTGGAGATCTGCTTTTCTACTGTTCATCAGGATTAGGAATGATTATCTAGAAATGCTGTAAGCAGTTGAATAGAGAGTCTATATATGTAAATATTTGACCTACTAGATATTATTGTGTCAACTAACCCAGTAGATTTGGGTGTGAATCTGGGTGGTCTGGAGGGCCCTGGAAGAAATTCTAGATTTGGGAGTTAGGCAGACCCATGTTAAGTCCTAACTCTCCCAGGGTAGTTCTAGTATTCTGTAGAATTCTATGGCCCTCTAGCTCTGTAGCTATCCTAGTCCACAAAAGCCTCTCCGTTATTTCTGCTGAGTTTTGCTGTTACAGTCGGTAAATTGTTGTCTCCAGTGGGTGAATTTTGTGTGCTTTTTAAAAATAATTAGGAATGTACTTGTCACCGTCTCATGTTCTGGTTTTCTATATAGGTGAAGCAGCTGAGCAACCATTTTCAGATTTATCCCTTCTCATTGAGGAAACCAAACTCGGATTGACTAGGAACGGAAGAAAAGAGTATTGGCCTGTAATCTACAGAAGGAAGTACTGTAAATAAGATGCTTGTAAATATTTCATCCATCACCATTGAACTAAACTGATCTGCTTAACAGACACGGGAACTCAGTGTGTATAGTACTTGGACAAATGATCTGAATTTACGAAATTTTGGACCTACTAATTCCCAACTTACTTTTTATAAAACTGTGTGGCATTTTGGTTAGGCATAATGTGCTTTAGACCAGCAAAATGTTTCTAGTGATGTTAGCTTCATGAGTCCATGATGTTTTGGTTCGTACAGAGTTAAAGATGCTTTGTTTTTATTTTTAGAGCCCCCAGATTGGTTTAGGAACACTGATAACATTAAGAAAACCACAAGATGTTTTCATATTTGATACTGTTTCAGTGGTAGGTCTTTCGCTATGGAAGTTATCAATAGCCCAAATCTAATACGGGGAAAAGATAAGAGGAAGTTACTGTTAGCCGGAGATGCCAAATGATTACAGAACAATATACAGTTGCCAAATACTCATTTCTCCTTCCCATGGAAATGCCTTTTGTCCTCATGTGCTAAGAGAGCTAATATATATATTTAGATTCTCTAGTATTCTGGCTCTCTTTCTTGGGAACAGATCTTGACAAATGGTTTAATTTAATTTAATTTAAAAAAATTTTTTTTAAGTTTATTTACCTAGTTGGAGAGAGAGACAGAAAGAGAGCACAAGCGGAGGAGGGGCAGAGAGAAGGAGAGACAGAATCTCAAGCAGGCTCCACGCAATCAGCACAGAGCCTGATGTGGGGCTCGAACTCACGAACTGCCAAGATCATGACCTGAGCTGAGAT